GAACAGCGCTCCGCCCCGTTGGCTCGGGGATAAGATTTTATTAGATGAAGGCCGTATGTTTTCTTCCAGGACAATTAAAACTGAAGCAATCTGCCACAGAATGTTAAAAAAAGGAAAACATCTAAAAGTTTAAAAACGCACTGCAGTACTGTCCAGAAATAACCTAACAGTGCGGTTGCGGTTAGGTTGCGGTTAGGTTGCGGTTAGGTTGCGGTTAGGTTGAGGTTAGGTTGAGGTTTGCTTGAGGTTCGGTTGAGGTTCGGTTGAGGTTCGGTTGAGGTTCGGTTGAGGTTCGGTCGAGGTTAGCTCGCGGTTAGGTTGAGGTTAGGTTTATGTTCGGTCGAAGTTCGGTCGAGTTTTAGCGATTGAAACCGCAAGCGAAACCGCAAAATATAGATGTTTACTAATGGAGTAATGCCGTAATGGCAAATTAGCAATGCCAATACCTAGACTGCGCAGAAGTGGCGGGTACATGAGTTTTACGAAGTTGTTTTCGGCGAAAGGTTTGGCTAGTCTATATTTTTATTCAGACAATTGCGTAATTTGATAGTATATGATCGTGTTTGACTTTCAAAGGCCCATAAATCGCTACAATGTTGATAATGACCATAACTATAGTGAGGAATAGGGGGATTCAAGGTTTCCGACGCCATTGGCTCAGGGGGTGCAAACACATTGGGGCGAGCGCGCGACCAGCGCCGTTTCCAATACTATTTTATATTAGGAGTGGGAAAATTACGTTTGCACAATTTGTAGAATTTCTGGAAAAATATAAAAGAATCGTTCAATTTTACTAGTTGTGATCAATTTCTGAGTATTTTCTGATGTCTGTGCGGGTTTTCATCCGAATCAAGGGGCTGGAAGTCTTAAAATATGTCGAGTTCGTTGGGACGTTTTGCGAGCTGTTTATTAAAAAGTTTAGTATTGTTTACCTGTCAGCGTGTATGTGAAAACATTTGGTTGCTTCGAGATTTAACGCCCGAAATGGATGGAATTTACGCTGAACATAAATATTTATCATACCAGAAACCACATGGAGTGCGAACATATAATTTGATATCTCGTGCGCCTCGCCGGTGCTATTTTGTCGCTTCAAAACTAGCCTGCGTAGCAGGCGCTATTTAGGGGGGAGAACGAGGGTTGGAAAAGCTAGGGGAGGGGGAATGCGAAGGCGAGAGAAAGACAGCGAGGAAAAATGGAAGGGGCGAGAATGAAATAGCGCCTGCAGGAAAGCCATATGTTTTTTCATATCTGCCCAAGTCCCGCCCATTAAAAAACAGCCAATCAGTGATTAGACGCAATTAATGGTTTCCCAGTGACAGATCCGGTTTCACAAAACTATGCATAATCATAGTTAATAATGCGCGTGTATACTAAGTATGTTTCTATGTTAACACCAAAAAAATTTGTAAAAAAGCAGGTAGAAAAGCGAAATAGGCAAGCGCTAACGATACATGCAAGTTTTGCAACAGCAATCAAAAAGCAGTACCGGTATGTGAAAGTGAGCCTTCCTTTGAAAATTTGTTTAAGCCGTCCTTTGAAAATTTGTTTAATTAAGCCGTCAGACAGACAGACAGACAGACAGACGGACGGACGGACGGACGGACGGACGGACGGACGGACGGACGGACGGACGGACGGACGGACGGACGGACGGACGGACGGACGGACGGACGGACGGACAGACGGACGGACGGACGGACGGACGGACAGACAGACAGACAGACAGACAGACAAGACAGTCAGAATTTGAATTTAGCGAACGCGTGCGAGTCCATAGTTGAATCGAATGGGATCGAGTGTGTAAACCTTGTAAGGAAAATAAGGAACGCTGCTGAACTATATAAATTTGTAAAGGAAGAACGATAATTAAAGAACAAAACCATACGGTTTCAGACGATCTGAGCGAGAGAAGCAAACGGCAGTTGCCAAGAAATCACACAACGAAAGTGTAAAGAAAGAAATTAAATGTGTATGTCAAATCTAGTACTAGAATTTAGAAAGTCTTTTCCTCAACACAGAAGAACGAGATTCCCAATCGCAAAACAAGTTGTTAACAATAACGACAGCAACTCGAAGCAACTTTCTCAATCAATTTATAGTTAATAGGCTAAGTTGAAAGTGATTATAGTGTATAGACTATAGTGATTATAGTAATTATAGTGATTTAAGCATCCACGGACGAGAAACATTGCCGTTCCACATATTTTAGCTGGTCTTCAATATAAATGCTATTCAATGGGGAAATTGTAATAATAGCTGCTTTCCCTGACGTTTGATAATCACGCGCTCGTACGAAAGCTTGGTAAATCAAACTTTTGCCATAAAACCTGTCGGTAATACAGCAAAAACTTATTTTCCTTTTAAAAGGTCCCGAACTGCTTTATCTTGCTTCTCTTTCAGTTGAATACAGTGGTCTGTCGCTAATCACTTTAGAAAGAACTTCGTCAATACTCTCATCTACTAAGGCCGCTATTTTGAAACAAACCCTAACATCGCTATTTTGAACTCATCTAAAATCACAGGGAATATAATTGGGAAACCCCTGATGACTGATTAGCCAATCAGAATTTCGCGTCCGCTCACGGACGCGAAATATGAGAAAACATATGGCTTTCCTGCAGGCGCTATTTCATTCTCGCCCCTTCCATTTTTCCTCGCTGTCTTTCTCTCGCCTTCGCATTCCCCCTCCCCTAGTTTTTCCCACCCTCGTTCTCGCCCCTAAATAGCGCCTGCTACGCAGGCTACTTCAAAACCTGTTATGTGTTTTATATATCAGTGATGTCCAGGGGCGGATCCAGACCGATGCCAACGATGCGAATGCATCGGTCAAAATTGAAAAATCATGTCGCTTGAAATAATATATATAGACATATTATGCTGTCGTCAATACTTAGTCAAGCACTCAGTAATAGAATATCTTTGAATCTCTCCAGCTATCAAACCGAAAATATTTGCTTAAACTTGACTCCATGTGACTGTCCATGTCAGGAATGCACTATTTAGGATGAAATCCAAGTTAAGTAGTCTCAATAACAACCAAAATTGTCAAAATAAGTCCAATATGCGACGTTATTTACTTTTTCTTTTGCGACACTTACGCGGCCCGTATTCTAAAAGCTCACGCACACTCACATGCACTCAATGAGTGGAGGTTCAATCTGAGCTTCTCTTGAGTGTCATTGCTGTTTTTGAATAGCTGGAGGGCTAGTGTCATACCTTACTCGGTGACTGCTCGCCCTCAAGCTATTCAAAAACAGCAATGACACTCAAGAGAAGCTCAGATTGAACCTCCACTCATTGAGTGTGAGTGTGAGTGAGCTTTTAGAATACGGGCGTTATGCGTCAATAATTGTGACCTTCCATGGGAAAACATACTTAACGGTTTTGAAAAACGTTCTGCAAAATCGTTGGTTAACCGTTCGTTATCCGTTTAAACGTTCTAGCATTCCGTTGAAACGATTTTTGAGACTGTTCAGACTTCTTAATGAACCGTTCAAACGCTCGGACAAACACGTTCGAAAAATGTTGCTAAATCGTTTCAACGTCTGGCACAAAACGTTCAAATACGTTCATGAAGCCGTTTAGATGATTTATAGATATATTTACATTGTTTAAAGCTGGGTTTGTAGGCGTTTAAAAATTTATCTGAAACCGCTTGTCTTGTAGTATTTACAAAAAGTACTATTAGTATTACGGACAGCAATTATAAGTTCACCCCCCTTCACAATATTAAATATTCTTGCAATTTATTAGAGTAGCGTCGAACTGAAGCGGTGAAATACTGCAACAATAAAAATGAGCAAAAGGTTTCTCGAATGTTAAAAGGGCCGAATAACTGAAAGTCGTTATGTTATACAAATACAATTGTATCGAAATAAACATATATACAACAGTTTCAATGTACAGTAGTATTGGTCTTAATGATATACCTGACTTGTACCAGTCTAGACCACAAGCGAATTATGCTAATACGCTGAATATAATACAACGATTGAAAGCGGCAGTAGATCGGCGCCTAAATCAATTAAATTCTTTCAAGGTTTGAATAACTATATAAAGCCTATTAATTTTCCACTAGCGAAATTTGTCGCGCGAATTCTTTGTCTTTATATAAGCTCTCGGCTGGAACTAATTAGATTTTTGATAAGCGAATGCCCTCATGGTTCTCATGGCTACCCGCTCCAGACGAAGGGCCTTGGCTCGAAACGTCGAAAGTTACTTATATTTTTCAGGTAGTTGCATTGCTACCAACGAAAGCTTCGGTAATTTAATACTGGCATTACCTACATTGAATGGCAAAGCCAGTTCTAGTACTGAATTCGCGGTACCATGCACACACACATTTGTTTCGTATATAAACTACATACATTGCAGGCAGAGGATTAACTGCATGCCTGCACTGTAAACTGCAAGGAGTTGAGTCAATTCCAAATGTCAGTGTTCTTTTCCAACCAAGAACGGTGACAAGTTTGAAATTTATAGTGTGTAAATTAAATAGTACGAGAATTGAAAGTTTCGAGCGAAGGCCTGGTCCCAGACCGATTTATTAGCTACTTATTCTTACTGTATATATATATATTTTATAATAAAATGTTCTAAAACTGTTTTCCCAGTAAAGCGATGACCAAATTACATATGAAATTACAAATTGGCATGACATACATGCATATGGGTTTTGCACGGCTCTCGGAAAAAGCATTATTTATGTAATGATGAGATTTCCGTGTTGAAATAAAGTTTATACATACATACAAACATAGCTGAGTTAACAGAGTGATGCCGGTCCACTCGACAGCAGGGCTGAAATCGGAATAATTTCTTAATCTTTGAAATTCCTCGCGATAATTAACGAGTTCCTTCTTATGACAGTTGTTGTACTTATAACACATGATTGCAAGTGAAGTGCAAGAATCTAAGTTATTCAAGTCCACCTTATCGCAACCCGCACACCCGATTACCTATATATACACGGATTTACGGTTACAGCTCAACAGCTGGCCCCTGTAGCTCTCAGTTGGTTAGAGCGCTGCACCGGAATCGCAGGGCCGTAGGTTCAATTCCTACCAGAGGACCTTGTGCTGCATTTTTCGCAGTCGTTCCTGGTTAGGTCTTAAAATGTATATATTCTCACTTGGATTACCAACCCTAACATCCTAATATTAATTCCACCAAGTGAAGTGCAAGAATCTAAGTTATTCAAGTCCACCTTATCACAACCCGCACATCCGATTACCTATATATACACGAAATTACGGTTACAGCTCAACAGCTGGCCTCTGTAGCTCAGTTGGTTAGAGCGCTGCACCGGAATCGCAGAGCCGTAGGTTCAATTCCTACCAGAGGACCTTGTGCTGCATTTTTCGCAGTCGTTCCTAGTTAGGTCTTAAAATGTATATATTCTCACTTGGATTACCAACCCTAACATCCTAATATTAATTTCACCAAGTGAAGTGCAAGAATCTAAGTTATTCAAGTCCACCCTATATACATAGCCTGCGTAGCAGTCGCTTTATTTTATTGTAGGTTTTGAGGATTTTTGAATAAATGGCGAGTTAGAAAAATGGACGAAGAAAAAAAGGGCGAGAAAAACGGCGAAAAATATAGGGGGAAGGAAAATTTTTCCTTCGCTCTTTTCGTTCGCCCGTTTTTTCTCGTCCTTTTTCTCTTCGCCCATTTTTTCTAACCCGCCATTTAATTCAAAAATCCTCAAAACCTACAATAAAATAAAGCGACTGCTACGCAGGCTACTATATACAGAGAAACCAAAACTAACCCACAGACACAGTGGCCAAAGTCTGTTCGTCTGTTTAACCTCACTCTGCGCGTCTCACAACTGGTTTCAACTTTCAACCACGCTGAGGACCGCTTCAGATTCAATTGTTCAAATTACCTATATTATTGGTCAAAAAACGATATCTGCAAGCCCTACTAAACACTGTTAAAGCACTATGAGATAAACCAAGAAACCAAAACCATATAATCTACAATTCACAGTGGCCAAAGTCTATTCAACTGCTATCTACTCTTCACTCGGACGACTAGGACGCCGCTTCAAATTTAAATTACCCGGCTAAATTGACAACAGTGAACAGACACAAATAATTGTAAAAAATAGCCATATCTGCAAGACCTGCTAAACCAAAACTATACACATACATATATAAATTATATAAACTGACAAGTCTATTGTCGAGGGCCTTCCAACGACGCGGAAATTTATACCGAATAATAATATATAAACATGCAGACACAAATAATTTTGTAAATAGGACGACTACTGCAAGACGTACTATAAAACTAGCTCTTTCAAAGCAAGATAAACTAAGAAAACAAAACCATATATTTAATACTTACGTTTCTAATTTTATTAAAGCAACAAATTCAGTACAGAGAACAATCGTGAAAGAATGCGGGAAGTGCTCAAGTGCAGTCGCCTTATTTTATATTAATCTCGCGCATTGCATTTTGGGTCCTGTGAAATTGCATTGTGGGTCTATCTGTCAATCAAAAATTGAGAATTTTGCCAGCTGCATGAGTTAGATTCTGCTGCCTCGCTCGCTCGCTGAAGGCTCGCTCGCTGCGGCAGCAATTATAGAGGAAATTACCGACACGTATACATTATAAGCATGCAATGGACACCCGATGTTTGACAGAAATGTGTCCACAATATCAAACAAGTCATACTCGAGGTCATACTGAGCCACAATACCCCATATGCTATAATTGAGACAATATGTATAGCACTCACATCAACATGCACAGATAATAGTTCTAGCTGTTGTCTTATAATAGTTATATCGCTGCATGCTCAAAACCACAATGTGTGATCGCTAAATCCCAACTATATATACACTTCCCGCGAGTTCGAGTTCATGTTCTTTTTATCCAACTTTGAATTTGCTATTTTCTGGTGTTCTTGTCTGCCTATATTTTCATGCCTAATCTTGTATAAGTATATATTATACATATCACGCTAATTAATTTAATATCCTTTTTGATATTATGAATAATCAAGAAAAAATTGTCAATACATTCTACGCAAAATTTCTTACCTAGACTATGTCGAGAATATTTGCTTGTTTCGTATGTGCATGTACATAGCTACAATACGTTTAGTTTAGGCCTGATGACTATTATATATTGCGTATATAGCCTGATTCTCATATGTCGCCGGCGTCAGCGATGGCCATTGTCGTTGATCATTGATTGAGTCTTTTGTCTATGTTCTTCTTCACTGATCTCAAACAATGGCATCGCCGGCGTCAGCGACTTATGAGAATCAGGCTTTAACAGTAGAGAATACAAAGGCAATGCAACACGCGACAGGTCGGCTAGGTTGTGTTGTGTTATGGAAAAACACCGCCACATGTCCGGTAACTGTTTGTCTTTAGACTTACTGCGAAACCGCTTTTTAGCGCCTTTATTTTGTTAAAACGGAAATCGATAAAACTTGAAACGTTTATAAATACCAAAGTGATCTATTTTGTTTGTGATTATATTCTACTGGATAAATGCGTGGTTGTTAATTCTGGATCAGTGTACTGACGTCTTTGTATATTATTGTTGTTCACTGCTTTATACCATTCTGTGCAGATCCGTTGAAACGGTCGTCGAATAAAGTGTCAAAAAAAGTGTCAACTAAAGTCAACATGGCGGTCATGCCAAGTGATAGCTCCGATAAAAATATATTAAACCAGCTCCAAAATAATTTCTTTAACGTTCAAGACAAGTACAAGGTGCTTGTTGAATATGACAGTAGCAATGACAAAGTGAAATGGAACGGCAACTTTGAGAATTTGAAATCTTTTGTGGCCGATTTGTTTGGCGAACAAAGCAAGTGGATTTCTCCTGGCGGGCGAGCAAAAT